TGAAACTTGAACGAGTGGAAGTCAATCAGGCCTGAGGCAGAGGGAAGGGTGTTGAAGCACAGGGAACAGTGCATGCAAAGGCCAGAGGACACAAAGGCCCTTGTGAAAAGAGCTGCAATTAATTACTCTAGTTAAGATGAGGGAAATGGCCAGGGATGTGACCAGTAAGGAGGATGAGGGAAATGGCCAGGGATGTGACCAGTGAGGAGGGCTCTGTCTGCCAAATAAGAATTTTTTACTGTGTTCTGGAGGCACCAGAAAGCTATCAAAAGCCTCAACATATATATGACACCACATCTCTGTCTTAGAAAGATCTTCTGGGCAACATCGAAGAGGGTGACCGGAAAGGGTAGGGAGTGGTTGAGGAATGATGAGGGGCTCTCAATAGGCTCTTCCAGTCTGGTAGGGGAAATGAGACATAGTCACAGCTGGCACCAACTGTGTAAGGTGGCGTTTGAGCATTGGCACAGGTGGGGTAGACAATAGTGGAAAGTGGCGCTCAGGAAGAAACAGGATCAGAAGGTGGACTGGGAGGGGGTCAGAGCCCAGGGTGGGGGAGTACAGGGAGCACAGGTGGTTTGGTAGAATGGATAACAGAATTGTTTTATTCAACCTGTTTGAGATGGCCAGAGAGACACAACAGATTAATTTGGTTTCAGAGATAAGAATTAAATTCCATCAAATTGGACAGATCAAAAATGCTCTTCAGAGCATTCAAGTTTATCATATCACAAAGGGAACAAAGAGGTTAACTATAGATTGGTTTGCCAAATCCTGGAACTGCAGAACCGTGGGGCACCTCTTGAAGTTCAAACAAAAGGAGAGAGCAAGGAGTTGTCATCTTGGTTTTCCTGAAACACTACTTCATTCCGTTACCCAAGGGTCAGAGCCCTCCAGAGGTTCCCCATGGCCACAAGGTGGATGAAAAGCATCTTCCTATCCACAGTATGACTGACTCACCATTTCAGCTTCGTCTTCCTCTACTGCAGAAACCCTCTACTTTAGCCAAGAGGAACCACACAAACTGCCCATGAATACCTACACCTTCCCAAGTTTACCCTCTGCTCGCCAGGAACGCCCTGTGCCTGCCTCTCCATACGTCTTAATCCTTCTTGTACTTCAAGGTCCAGCTGAAATCTCATCTCTTCTGGCAAGTCTTCTTTCATCACCCAAATTCAAAGGGACCTCTTCCTTCCCTGCATTCTGACAGAACTTCACTTTCTTTACTACTCACTACACATTCATACATCGTCTTTCACTGATAACTTTTCGTAAGCCCTGTACCCTGTCTGTCCAACTAGATGACAAACTTTTCGGGGTCGAATATCTAGTGCTACATAACAAACTACACCAAAATTCAGTGGCTTAAAATATCATCCATTTCACCATATCTCTTGATTTCCTGGGACAGGAATTCAGGCATAGGCTCATTTCGGTGATTGTTCTGTTCCATGTGTGGTCTGCAGAGGTCACTTGGTGGGATTCAGCTGGTGGATAGACTAGCATGGTGGGTACAAGAAGGCTTCAATTACATATCTGGTGTTTTGACTGGAAGACGGCTCAGCTAGGTATGTTGAGTGGAGTACTTACAGACATGGCCTTTCCAGTACCATGGCCTCAGGGTAGTCAGAGTTCTTCCAAGGTGACTCAGCGTTAGCAAAAGGAGTGCCCCAAAAAGCTGAGTGGAAGCTGCAAGACTTTTATGACTTGGCCTTGGAAATGCCAGAATTTCACTTCTGCCACATTCAATTGGTCAAGCAAGTCACTAAGGCCAGCTCAGATTTAAAGGGAATGGAATTGATTCCGTCTTTATTGGGAACAGTGGCAAAGAATATGAGACCATCTTTATTCTGCCACACCATCTTGTCCTAAGACCTAGGCAAGCAAAGTCCCTGGCCCAGGTCCCAGGCTTCAGGGGGCCTCACGCTTTGGAGTGCTACTTTTGAATTTTTCTAAGTCCTCTTCAGTGATGGGGGTCGTTCTAGTCTGTTTCTCCTCTTCAGGGTAATCTCTAACCCTCCACCCCATGCATGGGGTTGACCAAGTGCCCTGAAAAGCTTCAGGACTCATGCCAATGGGTTGTCCAGGGCAACCTGGCAAGCAAATTGCTTCTATTGGCTAGCACAGTATTTCTTTTGTGGCATTGCACAAGTTCAGGCCACCAGAATGGTATTGACTTGTTGATTTTGGGTGATTCTCATTCACATTGGATACAGGATGAGTTCAAGACTCTGGGCTACTGACAGTCTACTGCTGACCCTTGAGTTTTAGCCACCTGTGTGGGTACATGCCATGGCTCTTGCCAGCCTGTGTTCTTACCACAGGGCTGCCTCCAGTCTATAGCACACCAGAATAGTAGGGGTGGCATCATCCTGTGCCCTGTGTGGGGCTCCCCACCTCCACCTGGTAAGGATGGTCATCCCACCCCCTCCACAGGCTTTGTACCACATGTCGAGCAGTCCTCCAGAGGTGGCCATGCCTATCTTCTCCACTTGAGACCATTACTCTGCCGACTGACTTTTACAATCAATGTCCTCTCTTTCTTCTGACAAATGTAATGACCCCATGAACCACTGGGTGGTTCTTAAGCAGGGCCAGGTGAGGGCCATATATTCCTTGCATGAATAGGACTTCTCTTCTTGCTCCACCCATGGGTCCCTAGCCTAACCACCTTTCTCCCCTGACAACTGGCTTCAGTGTGTGGAAGACAGGGGTGCAGTCAACACTGGAAGAGATCATATTCTAGGAATGCAGGAATCAAGGCCTAAAGAATTCAAGAGAAGACATGGTTGGAAGAAATATTATTGTACATTTACACTACAAAATTCTGAGCAGTGAATTATTATTCATATTTACCTGCATACTCTAGGCAAAACATGGCATTAGTGTCATCATCAATGAAACACAGTAGCAAACTTTGGGTCATTGGAAGTCAGCATTCATGGGCAGTGTGAAGGATGATGCAGCATCCTGAGTAAGGACGTAACCATCGTTAAATAAATAAATGAAAACTCAGTTGAGGTATCATCTCCTCTTTGATGCCCTCCTGAATCCCCAAACTAGGCTAAGTGTCCCTCCTCTCTCATCCCATAGTTCCTAGTCAACTGTATCCCACACTCACCACATAGTATTCTAATTATCTGTGCAGATGTTTCCCTCCCAGTATATTAAAGAACTTCTATGGCAAACTGACGTCTTGCTCATCTTTGTACCCCACACCTTGCATTGTGCCTGATACATACTATGAGCCCCACGAATATATGTAGGATGATTCATGGAAAGAGACCACTGGACTAAGTCAGGTGGACTCTGGTGAGCCTAGAAAACAGTTCTAGGAGAGGCTGGAGAACAAGGCACCCATGCAGAATGTTGGCAGTGTACACCAATTGTCCAAGCAGTTTAGCCGTAAAAGAAAAAGAAATGGGATAAAGGTTAAAAGTTCAGGGAGATGGACTGGTGGAGTTTTCTTCTCTTTAGAGGAAGGCCCAACCATACAAAGGCCTAAGAGACTGAGACACAGAGGGGAGGTCCTCTGGACTTCAATTTCCTTATCTGCCTTACCTGCCTCACAGGGATGCTGTGAGGTCCAAAGAAGAAAGAGATATAGGCATAAAAATTCTTTGAGAAAATTTCTATCTAACCTCTGATAACTTCCAACTACCTATAGAATAAAAATCTATACATAAAAATTTAAGCATTACATTTAAGATTCCCCATGATCTGGCTCTAACTTTCCTTCTAGTACTATTATTGCCCCAAGCCCCCCAAACCAGCCACAGGAGATCTACCTTTTTTCCACTTATTTGCCTTTGCTCAGGCTATCCCCTCAGCCTCAAATGCCCTTCCCTTCATCTCCACTAAGCCAGTAAAATAAACATTTACAGAGTGGCTAGTGTGTGCAAGACTGTTAAAACTCCACTGATTCTATTGATTCATATCTTATTTAGTCCAAGAATCCTTCTTGCTCTTCTCCAAAGAAATGGTATTTTGTATCAATTGTAGCACTTACTCTACCTGAAAACATAGTTTGAAGGCATAGTTAGTCCTCAGAACGGACTACGAGAGATGAGAGATTTGAGGGCTGTCTTTCTACCCCCAATATCTGTGTCTGGTAATAGTAGGTGCTCACTAATAAATAAATATTAGAATAAGTGCAAAAATGTTAAGGATGTACATGGGTGGACAGCCTCTTCGGACACAAAACTGGGTGGGATCCAGCATACAGGAAAACAGAAGCATCAACTTGTCAAAGGAAGAGGAACATCTCCTCCCTTGGGAGGAACTGCAGATAAGCCTGGGAGGATGGAAATGGGTTAGGTCTATGTGGAGAGGCCGAAGCGTTCAAATCCTTTAAGTCCTAACTCAAATACCATCTCCTACATTAAGTGTTTCCTGAATCCCCTACCGGAGCCGAACCCCAGCTTGGCTCAATCTCTGGACTTTCTAGCCTGAAGATGTTTATTTGTACACATATCTTATTTCCTTTCCTAGATCGCGACCTCTTTGAGGGCGGAGGAAGCCTGTTTCTCCACAGCACACATGACACATAGTAACCACTCATTCATTGCTGGTTTATTGGATGGATAAATGGGGGGAAGAGGGGTGGGCGGGAGAGTGAGTGGACAAACTTGAGATAAGAGAAGCTTGCGCCAGAGACTGCAGTGAAGAGCGAAATCTCCAGACCCACAATTAAACAGTTTAATTCGAAGCCAAGCGAAACCCTCCCAGCCTTCCTCCACCAGCGCAGAGCAAGTACCCGCCTGCTCTCCTCTCACCTTGCTCTGAGGACCTCACGTCAGTACTCTGTGACTGCCCTCGCCAATGCCTGACTCAATGCTGGAGACAACCTCCTGTCAAAACCTATACTTCCTCGTCCCCCATCTGGGGCAGAACCTCTGACTACACTTAACCACCTTCTCCAGGCTTCTTTTCCCGTTCCCTTTCGCCTGTCTCGCCCCCACTGGTAGTCGGGCGCACGTGGGGGCAGCCCCAGCCGGCTTGGGAGTGAGGGTCCTACGACCGGAAGCCGGAAGCCGGAAGGGGGGCTGTGAGGACGTGTTCTGAGGGAGCCCGAGCCGGACCCGGCGGGGCCGGCGACATGGAGCCGCTGTACCAGCAAACGCACAAGTGAGGGCCGCGTCGGGGCACGGGCAGGGGGAAGCCAGGCTGGGCAAGGCCGGACCCCCGGGCTGGGGCTTCGGGCGTCAGCCAGTGCGGAGGCCGAGTCCTTCCGTCCGGGCACTGCCAGGGACAGCTCGGAAGTGCTCCGTCTCTGGCGGGATGCCCAGGTCAGCGGTGGACCGAGGGTCCGGCGTGGTGCCCGGGGACATTGGGCCGGATGGCGCCTAGCATCTTCGAGGCCTTGACTACCTGCTGGGTAGAGTAGAGGAAGGGAAAGTCGCACCTACCGGTTGTAATACTTTGTCCAGCACCTGCCAACTCAGTGCTCTGGGTTGATAAACTGGTGGGCAGTCAGGGCCCCTGCACGGAGGTGTTTACTGTTTAGTTGGAGAATCAAGGCACGTACGAAAAAAGATCTAACGTGTGGCAGGATGAGATGGAGGGTAAATGAGCAGTATAAACAGGATCTCCTTAGGCAATTTAGAAGGATCCATCCCTGAGCTAAGGTCGTCAGAAAAAGTTTCACTATAGCTCAGAGCTCCTACATGATGTCATTCCCTACTCTTGACTGACTCTAATCTTGTCGCTGCTACACTGTGATTTTTTTTCTTTTATTCTGATTTGGTTTATTCTAAAAACCTATTTTTATGGTACAAGGAAACCGCTATACAAGTAGCGTTCGGTATTCATATTTAGTTACAGGTTACCTTTAAGGAAATCGAATTTTGGGTCAGCTTCTCATAAGTTAAATTCCTTAGTTGTGTCCGTTGTTCATATTGTCCTGCATTTTTGGAACTTGCTGAGATGTGTAATTCAGTATGGTAATCGAGTCATACCTATCTAATTTTTTTGACAAAAAGTTTGTATGACTTGTTTTTTGTATGATTTTATTTTTTATGTTACATAAACCCTATGTAACATAAAATTTGCCATTTAAAAGTTAACCATTTAATTTTTCATTTTTAAAGTTACCGTTGTCATTTAATTTACCATTTAAAAATTTAGCAATTTCTAAGTGTACAATTCAGTGACATTCACAATGTTGTGTAACCATCACCACTACCCATTTCCAGAACTTTTTCATCATCCCAAACAGAAACTCACATACCCATTAAGCAGTACCTCCCTATTCCTCCCTCCCCCAGCCCCTGGTAACCTCTGTTCTACTTTCTGTCTCTGAATTTGCATATTCCAGGTATCTCATATAAGTGAAATAATACAATATTTGTCCTTTTGCGTCTGGCTTATTTCACTTAGCATAATGTTTCCAAGGTTCATCTATGTTGTAGCATGCATCAGAATATCATCCCTTTTTATGGCTGACTAATACTCCTGTCTGTGTGTGGTGGGGTATACACACACCCTCATGCGTGCACGCACACACACACACACCACATTTTGTTGTCCATTCATCTGTTGATGGACACTTGGGTGGTTTCCATCTTTTGGCTGTTGTGAATAATGCTGTTGTGAACATTGGTGTACAGATATCTAGTCTCTGTTTGCAATTTCTTGGAGTGTATACCTATACTTATCATGTTGTAACAACTTTCAAATTTATGCGGTCGTTTTGTTGTGATCAAAACACTTAAAATCATGTCCCCAGGGCCTGGAAATGAAATAAAATTGGGGCTCCCCCCTCCCTAATGAATTCACAACAAGGGAAATACTTAGGAGCATTAGGAATAAGAGGATGATGATCCTCTTACTGTTTCATTTTCTAACTTTATGGGTTTCTTTCTTTCTACTTTAGTGATGAAATGTATGGTTTGGATGGATGAAAATACAGAACCTGTTTTGTAATGGTATTAGAGTAGCAGAATTTGCTCCTACTGTGGGGAGCCCTGTTCACATAAAAATTATAGGAACTTAAAAAACTAGACCTGTGAGTCAGTTGGAAAAGGAGTGAAACAGAAAATCATGCTCATGTTACTAAGAAAGGGCAGATCTTTTACAGTAGCAAGGCACAGTGGGCTGAGTAGTGCCTTGAAGTTAATCTGTGATGTGCAGTCTCACCTGCTTAGTTAATTTGGTTAAACAGTGTTGCTGAGGAGGCCATGACCCAGTTTATTATCAAGAATAATTTTGTTCAGAGAGTCTCAGACTACCTGTTATCAGTGTAGCAGGTAGTTGTCACAGAGTAATGTGAGTAGCTGAATTCTGTGTAAACTTAGGGAGAGTTGGGATACTGAAATACTAAATGGCGTCCCAAACAAGATTTGTGGCCGAGTGTGGATAAACTGCTTAGCTCCGCAGGCCTCCAACAACTGAGCCTCGGGTTCTGTGGACCCTCAAGCTCTAGCAGGGCTTGCCAACTTCTCTTGTCGAAGGCCAGATAGTAAATATTTTAGGCCTTGCAGGCCATACAGTCTCTGTGGCAGCTGCTCAAACTGTGCTGTTATAGCAGCAAAGCAGCCATGAGACAATATGTAAACAAACAGATGTGACTGTATTCCAAGAAAACTTTCCGGACAAAAACAGACCGTGGGCCAGATTTGGCCTACCACTGTTTGGCCCTCTTCTAGGCAGTCACTCGTTCATTCAGTGAATATTTATTGAGCGCCTACTATAGGTTGGGCACCATTCCCAGTGTAGACAGTACAGCCGTGCCCACCAGGAGTTTACCTTCTTTCACGCTGCAGTATGTTCTCATCTACCTTTCCCCTTAAGTGCTACGCCAGGACTGCGAGTTCTGGTTCTAGACCTCTTTGCCTTGTTTTCCTCAGTTATAAAAGGATAGTTTTGAGCTGGTTAAACTGTATATAATACTCCATAATACTGGCGATTGAATGTCTTTAAAAGGAAGCATATGGAGTCCTCTGAGCATCAGCAATTAACTTTTGCAATTGCAGAAATTAATGACTGTGGCTCAATTGACACAACAATAACAGAACATACTAATTTTACTGGAACTTTGAATCCACTTTGTGGTTATCTCTTGCCATGTCCCCGAAACTACATTGGAATTAGATCAACATTTAAAATTATGTATCCTGAAAACTCCTGCACTGCCTGAACAATGAGTGGAAAAAGGTGAATATTACAATAAACATTTTACACTTAAATAATGCTGCATTAGGATGAACTTTAGTAGAGGAGCTAATAGCCAGGCTTCTATTTTTGAGATCCCGGTGGTTGTGAAGGTGCCCGTATTTGTCCCCTGTGTAGTCCAGGAGCCTTCAGTGCCCTGGACCTTATTATCCCTAGAGATTCTGATTCAGTAGGTTTGGAGCACAAGAAGCTCTATTTTTATTTCTTAATTTTTTTATTGAGGTTATGATTACAACATTTTGAAATTTCAGGTGTATATTGTTATTTGTCAGTCACCATATAGGTGCTCCCCTTCACCCTTTGTGCCCACCCTCCATCCACCTTCCCCCTAGTAACCACTAATCTGTTCTCTTTGTCCATGTGTTTGTGTATCGTCCACATATGAGTGAAATCATACGGTGTTTGTCTTTCTCTGTCTGGGTTATTTTGCTTAACATAATACCCTCAAGGTCCATCCATGTTGTTGCAAATGGGACAGGATTTTGTCATTTTTTTATGGCTGAGTAGTATTCCACTGTATGTATATACCATATCAAGAAGCTCTATTATGAACAAGCTCTCCAGGTGATTTTGATGAACAGCTGGGTTTAAAAACTATTCCATTATCTCAAAACTAGTTTTTCCTTTTTTTGATTTTGCTTTCTGATGAGAGGCTGAATATAGTAGAGGCAAGTGAGTGGGGTGAAAGTGATCAGATGGTTCCCACTACTTTTAAGTTAAGTAAAAACAAACTTTTGTGTGATGCTGTATGGGTTACACAGCAATTTTATTTTGCATTTGGATCTGTGATCTTTTAAATAGTTGTGATTATTAGTACCTTCTTTAACAGTTGAGGAGACTGAGGCACCAGGGAGTTACATGACTTGTTCCATGTCCCTCAGCTATTACGTAGTGGAACTAGCACTTCAGCCCAGATCTTTTAACTGCAAAACCCTGTTTCCTGCTCATGGTGGTCAGAGGCAGCATGAATGCAAAGTAGGCGTATATGATGGGGGGCGGGGATAGTTCTGTGGACTTTTAAAAAGCAATTACATTTTAAAATTCTTCCCAGATCTTCTACAGAACTTTTTAAAAAAATCAGCAGCATGGGGCCGGCCCCATGGCTGAGTGGTTAAGTTTGCATGCTCTGCTTCGGTGGCCCAGGGTTTTACTGGTTCGAATCCTGGGCACGGACATGGCACCACTCATCAAGTCATGCTGAGGTGGCGTCCCACATGCCACAACTAGAAGGACCCACAACTAAAAATACACAACTGTGTACTGGGGGGGCTTTGGGAGAAAAAGGAAAAATAAAATCTTTAAAAAGAAAAATCAGCAACGGTGACCCTTGCTTACTTGCTGCTAGGTCTCTGCTTAGTTATGTAGTCACTCAAACCTCCCATGGGCCCCAAGCGAGACAGGGCTAGGACTTCTAATTTCTAGTGTACACGCTCCCAAGTCATGCTTGTGTATCACCTCTTCCTTATTGGCTTCGAGTGTGTTGTCTGAATTCCCAGTTCAGTTTAAAATAGATTTACCACTTGGCATATAGTAGTTCCCACCATGCTATTCATACTTGCTTTGTTGTTTTGCATTTATTTCCTGTCAGGCGTGAAATATAGAGATTGGAATCACTTTATTGGTGATTTCTTTTCTAGTGCATTCAAAGCAAATAGAGATTGGGTGGGAACAGTCAGTAGTGTTTCCCTGCAACTTAAAGTTTATTCGTTTTAGCTTAGAAAATAGTAAAAGCCAGCTGAAGAGTGTTTATAGGGTTTTGTGGGTGTTGGCATCATCTCTCCCTCTGCCCTCATAGAATTTAAGAATTGAAAGAAGCTGGCAAGGTCTTCCGTTCCAACTCACTTTGGTCAGGAACACCCTTCATAAAACCCAAGACAGTTCATGTATCCTGTGTTTAAACATGCAGGAGCTCTTTATTTATTTATTTTTTCCTTTTCTTGAAGAGATAGTTCATAATTGTTCTTGGGTTTTTTCTTGTGTTGAGCTGAAATCTGTCATCTTGAAATTTGTGCCTTTTGGTTCTGGGTCTCCCTTAAGGCTCAGCAACAGAGAACAAGGCCATTCCTCTTTCTACATGTCAACCCTAGATATTTGAAGAGCACCAGCCGCCCCATTTTAATTTAGTTTTTTCTTGTCTTTTCTTAGAGGCTTATTTTCACTAGCTCTTTTGACCATTCCTCTTCATGACTTGATTTCTTATCTCTTCCCCAGTTGTCGTGTTCATCATCCATTGGGAAACCTTTAATTGATTTTTTTCTTAATCTTAAGTCACAATGCTTTTCATCCCTTACAAATTTCATCTTACTATTTTAGCCTAAATGAAAAATGTTAATATATGTTTTGTGGTACAATGTCTTAACCACTTATTATCGCACAGAATCGTGCAAATTTCATAAGTTGGTTTTTTTTTAAATGTTGGACAAAATGTAGAGTCAAAGGCAGTCCTATAGTGGGAAGCTGGAAATCTTTTCTAGCATCCCTTGGGTACCATTGTTTAGCCTGCAATGAATCCCCCATCCTTAAAGGTTAAAATATTTGTCAAACTAATGGGAGAAATGTGATATTTCATTATTCTTAATTTGAATTTTCCTGATTGCTAGTAAAGTAGAGTGTCTCTTCATATATTTATTGACCTTTTAGATTTCCTTTTCTGTCAGTTGCCCTTTGCCCATTTTAAAAAATTGCTTTGTTTGACTTTTCCTATTGACTTGTAACAGTTCTTTGTATATTCTGGACATTAGTCCTTTGTTATTTGCCACAGATATCTTCCAGTCTCTGCCTGTCTTTTTATTTTCTTTCTGGTGCCTTTGGTGTAAAAAAAAGTTTTTGTTTTAATGTAGTCAAATTTATCAGTCTTTTGTAGTTTGTGGGGTTTGGGAAGTAGTTGGTTTTTTTTGTCTTAAGAAGTCCTTCTTTAATCTGAAGTTGTAACATGCACTCCTATATTTTCTTCGGAAAGTTTTAAAGCCTTGCTTTTCACATTTAAGCTTTAAACCATCTTGAGTTTATTTTTGTGTATTACGTGAGGTATCTTTTTTCCATATGGATAACAAACTGAGCCATCAGCATGTATAGTAATCCATTCTTTTCCCACTGATGTATGGCACCAAGTCACCAAATATGTAGGACTGTTTTTGGCCTCTCTTCTTTCCTCTTGGGTTAGGGTTAGGGTTAGGGTAAGGGTTTCTGTCTGTCCCTGCACTACTACCCTATTGTTTTAATTATTATGGCTTTGTAATAAATCTTAATAGCAGGTAGGACAAGTCGTTCCTCTCATGCTTATTCAGAGTGGTCTTGGCTATTCTTTGCTCCCCCTTTTTAAAATTACTTTCCTGTTTCCATCGATAATGCCATTAATTTTCAGATTTGCTTTGTTAAGCTACTATTGAAAATTTACCCCACTCCCTACATTCAGCCCTTCAATGAAGTCCTAATTCTCCTTTCCATCAGCATTGCCGTCCAGTCCTCTATCGCTGTTTCCATGGTTACCTCAAGCTGCATTCCTACATCTGCCTCCATATGTCCAGGTGCTTCCATTCTCAAATATTCAGACTTACCTTACTGAAGTAGCAGTCTGGTCTGAGACTCTAGTAGTGATTTCTAGTTGCCTCTCAGGGCTGCAGATCTTGCCCAGGAGCATTCTGAGAGTCATTAGAGAGCTGGCCAGCTTCTGATGCCGGGGGTCATATTTAGGGGCTGCAGGGAAGCCCTGGAAAAGACTGGAGCCACATTGAAACCCAGTTTGAGCTCCTGGCTTACATTGGTAAATTTGGGGTCACAGTTTGTGGTGCTTATGGTAGAGGGTGGTTGCTGACCTTTCCCTCAAGGATTGGAGATGATATAGGAGCTCAGCAGGCCCCTTTCATGTGGCTGTAATGTGGAGAGACCAGAAGCCCCAGAAGGTGGTTGTTGGGGTAGCATAAGCAATATTCCAAGGCCTCACCACAGAGGACCACTAGGAAGGGCCCTCAGGGTGACCTTGGCTAAGCCCTGGGGAGCCTCCGGACAGTGCTCTGGGGCCCGATGTCTGGGACCATGCAGAGGTCCAGGGGACAGTGTTGCATTTCCAGATGAGATGGCAATCACCTCATCTTGCCAGGGAAGGATGTTTACCAAACAAGAGATCCCTATCTTTCAGGGCCTTCCTCTGATGGTTTCCTCCAACTAATGGCCTCTTCTGCCTCTCCCCTCTGACCCCCACTCTCTCTCAGGCAGGCCAACCTGCTTGGAATCCATATGACATGCCTTGCATGCCTTTTTGCATATCATTTTCTTCATATCTTCCCATACCAAATCATGTCTCCATTCTTCACGATGATGTCCAGAACTCCCTCCGCCCACGTGACTTGCCCCAGCTTACTCTTATTTACTTGCCTTTGCTTGGCACCACTATGCATGGCTCCTCAGCTTGCTTTCTGTTTACACTTCTATGTGTTAGTGTTCTCCTCAATCTTCTTAGGACTTTGGTGTCTATCTGGCCTGTCATTCCTAATTACATTGTTTCTCAAGGACAAGGATTATATCTCTTTTGCCCTTTGGCTCTCCCTAGCACAGACCAGTGCTCAGCACATTGGGTCAAAGAACAGAGAGTGGGATTGGCTGGGTCCAGATCGAGGTTTATCACTTGCTCTGTGACCTTGAACAGTTACATAACCTTTCTGGGCTTCAGTTTTCTTATTTATAAAATGAGGATGATAATAGTACTTTCCTCACAAGGTTATTGACTTTGCAGAATTTCTCGGATGTGGTAAGCACTCAATAAATGCTGCCTATCAGCATTGTTATTAATATTAATTTTCAACTATTAGAAACCATGCCAAAACATGTGGCCTAAAGTGCCACATACAAATTTTACAGTTCAGTGATGCTGTCAATTTAAATCAGTTACATGTTAGCATCAGAAAAATTGTCTTTCCTGACTGAAGCATTGTTGATTACTCCTGTCTCACTCATTTCCTCCCTCTTCCTTTGATAGGCGGGTCCACGAGATCCAGTCTCACATGGGACGCCTGGAGACAGCAGACAAGCAGTCTCTGCACTGTGAGTAATTAACTATGGAGACCAGAGTCCTTTCTCTGATGACACGGTGCTAATGGGCTGGGTTTCCTGACTGCATTTCTGCCCTGGGGGCTTAATGATTCAGCGTGGAATGAGTTTCGTTCTGAGGGTGGACAGAAACCCCGATGGCAAAGTCACTGATTTCCCTGAGTGTGCCCTTTGGAGTCCCACAAGCCTTATCCCCCATTACCCCTCCACTCAACCTGACATGGCCCTATGGGAATGGAAGTTCTTTCTTCCATCTGTCTTAATCTAATTACCTAGTCCTTAAAGGAATGTACTCCATAAAAATTCAGAGATGTTTAACTGGAATTGGTCATTTCTTCTGAGCTGAGAACTGTGACTTTTTAGGAGGATTATTCAGAAATGAATAGCAATAGTAATTAGTTTAGTTCCCACACCATGGTTTCTTTTGAGAAGAGTGCTGCTTTTTGTTTTTTACTTTCTTTTCTATTACATGAAAAGGTGCTTTTCCTGAGTCGGCCAGACAGACACTACTGGTTACCCCTGCACTGCAGGAGCTGTCTTCTCACCACACTACTTGGCCCTCCCCATGCCTGTTTCTCCTCTTGTCTCATGTCTTCTTCCTGCAGCTTCAAAAGCATCTCTTGGTTCTGTACCCCACCTTGTTCTAATCTAAACTGTATCTGTTAGCTGTAGGCTAAGCTAGGAAGGTGACATTGCTCTTTTTACTGTCATTTTTTTGTTGGGCAAGAAGCAAACTGGATGCATTTTTTTGTGCACAGTTTAGTTTTTCTCCATCGACTGTTTGCCTTCCCAACAATCTCATTGTTACATGATAAGAAATGGAAAAGAGGTCATTTTGACTGTTTATCAAAAGGGATAAGGAAAATGACTGTATTTATCATATCTTTACCTCTGTGGATTCTTTCCTGGACCTTTCCTATTGATGTGTGGTCTATTTTGGAGCCTCCAGCCTCAGCCTCCCCATTCTTATAGAAAGCCTTCAGGGAGCTCTTCTCAGCATTTCACATACTAATTTTCTCCTTGTGCTTTTTTTTAAAACCTCATTACTGTAGGGAATTCAGTTGGCAGTCTTTTTACCAGATATTTATAACCCATATCTGAGAATAATCTCAAAGGAAAAGAGACCTCATTCTGTATCAGAAAATACTGATTTTTCTTAAAATATTTATTTGGACAACTTTAAATGTGCATTTTATTTTCTTAAGGCGGGAAATTTATTTCTACAGATTTATCTTCAGCTTTTTAAAAAATTTACATTGTTATGGTATTAACAGCTATATATATATTTGAAATAACATTTACAAAGTCACTTAGTATAACTTGAAATCTTTTCTATTATTCAGTATTGTATGTATTTTTCTCCTGTTTGAAATATGTTTTTTTGAGTTTATTGGATATGGGAAAAAAACACGTTTGATTTATCATTCTAATTTAAGTTCACTATCTCTTTTCCAGCAATTATTCTTTTTTTCTCTTTTGTGCAGTGGTAGAAAACGAAATCCAAGCAAGCATAGACCAGATATTCAGCCATCTAGAACGTCTGGAGATTTTGTCCAGCAAGGAGCCCCCTAACAAAAGACAGAACGCCAAACTGTGAGTGCTCAGACACCCCAGGCTTGTCGAGGCAGCCCTTTCCTCCAGGGGAGGCTGTGGAATGTTCTGAAAATCCATTTATACATTGAAAAACTGAGGCTATGCAAAGATGAAATCCCCATAAAGGGCACAATTCTATTTGAGTCATACTCCCTCAGAGTAGAAAGCCTGTGAGGCTGGTAGCTCAGGAGCCTGGTGTCTTCTTACCTCACTGCTGTCACTTTGAAATTTTTGCCTCCAGTACTTTTTGTCTGACCAGACCCATGGCCACTTGAGACTCATTCTGCCAGGGAGTTTTACTCTGCCCTTTGGTTCACACTACATGCTTAGGTTAAAATGAAATCTTGCTCTTAATCACTTCAGTCAGTCTATTTATAATGAAATACTGATCTAATGTTTGATATTCCCTCATGAAATTAATATGAAACCAGTCTCACCACCTCCCCCCCAGTCCCTGCTCCCAAAAGTTTTATGAAACTTCATTGATGCTTTACTCCAAAGATGCCCTTGGGCTTCTTCCAGGGGAGCGATATAATACATAGAAGGTCAGGAAGAGGTCATTGAACCTGCTTCCTGTCACCTGTTCCCTGTCACGCATCCAGAATCAGAGGCCAGCAGATATTTAAGTAAAGCTGCTGGAATCTTATGTGCTACAACCCTACTTTAACCGCAAGCTACTTCTTTACTTTCAACATCATTGGTCAAGATAAGATTATTTGGGGGGGATGGCTTGGAGTGGTATAGGGAGAAGCAAGGAAACATCTTTCCTGAATAAAAAGCTCAGCTACCTCAAGTTGTGCTGCCCTGGGTTCCTGGAATTTAATCTCTCTCTCTATCAATTCCAGTCGTGTTGACCAGTTAAAGTATGATGTCCAGCACCTGCAGACTGCTCTCAGAAACTTCCAGCATCAGCGATACACAAGGGAGCAGCAAGAGAGACAGCGAGAGGAGCTACTGTCTCGCACCTTCACCACTAACGTAAGCCAGGCGCCAGGCGGGGGTCTGCAGGTACTTGACGGCTCATTGGAGCTGGGGCTCAGGTCTTTGAGCATCATTCTTTTAGGGGGCGTCTGGAGGAGACAACTGGAAAGGCAGTGGGCTTCGTGCATTGCCACCGAGGTTAGCCCTAGACGGGGGATCTCTTTTTCTAACACAAAATCCTGAAGAGGAAGCAGTTAAATTGAGGGACTGGGCAGAGGTGAAAATTACCTGGTTTGACTGGTCCGATGTAGCAAGTTGGAAGTTCTCATGGTGGAAACGTTTTTCTGATCAGATGGAGACAGATGATTAGAAGTTAGACCATTTGTAGTAAGGGCAGCATTTCAAAGCTGCCTTCAGGCAGTTGCCGTTGTGCTGTGTATGTGTGTGGTTCCAGTGTCAGATGCATTAAAATGGTTTTGTCTCTAGTCTGAGCAGCAATTTGGGGGAATTTGTTAGCAGATACTTCGTTTTAGATGGATGGCTTGGCTTGAGCCTGTTTGAAAAGGGCCTATTGGTTTGCTTATTTGATTTCTTAGAACACTTTTGTCCCTGCCCTTTAGTCTCAGTAGAATAATTTCCTGGACGTGGCTATAGAACATGTCGGCCTTTTTTGTGTCCTGCATAATATATTCCACCAAATGAGGTAGGTTTTAGGGGGGTTTGGGGTTTTGTTTTTTTTGTTTTGGGTTTTGTTTTTTTTTTTTACAGAAAGGTTCATTTTCTAAAGAGGTCTTGGCTTTCTAAGCCTGCCATCAGAATTCAAGTCAGTTCCCACTTTGCAGATGTTTAACTCTTACTGTGTCCACACTTGTAGTAAATTTCCCTGAGTGTTTCAGAATGTGCCTACGCAGTTTTTGTTTCTCTAGAGTAAGCAGTCAAGTGACAATGATTAACAATTCAAAAGTGTAATGGAGACGTGTTGGTGGTATAGTTGTAAGCATAGCTGCCTTTCAAAAGTGTAATGAACTATACAACACACTAAAAGATACTGTGTAAGCTTTTGATAGTTATGGCATTGGGTATTTGGGCTTTTTTAGGCTGGGGATGATTGCTTAGAGTTATTTTGTTTCTTACCAGCCTGGTGTGATGCCGTACGTACAGTGGGCCCGTAATAAAAATTGACTTGCCCAGTGAACTTCTTCCTGATCATTCTGCAGTCTGGAGCTATAATACATTTATCTGAGAAATAATGACCCATCACCTATACCCTTTCAGATGGGAGGGTTAAGATTTGTATATAAAAGGCATTCGATAAATGTTTGTTAAATAAATGAAAAGAAGTCTCTAATTGATTAATTCAAACACTGAAGTCTTTTGACCCACTGAGCATTGCCCATATGCAGAACACTATTTAAGGTAGTAAAGCAGGGGAAAAAATTAAAAGGCATGACTCCGACCTGTGAGAAGCTCCCCTGTTAGCAGGAGGGATTGAAAATGTGCACATGAAAAGTGATTCTGGGGGCCGGCTCCATAGCCTAGTGGTTAAAGTTCCCCATGCTCCACTTTGGCAGCCTGGGTTCACAGGTTCAGATCCCAGGCATAGACCCACACCACTTGCCAGCCATGCTGTGGTGGCAACCCACATACAAAATAGAGGAAGATTGGCACAGGTGTTAGCTCAGGGCTAGTCTTCCTCAGCAAAAAAAAAAAAAAAAAAAAAGATTGGCAGCGGAAGTTAGCTCAGGGTGAATCTTCCTCAGGAAAAAAAAAAAAAAAGATTCTGACCTTGAGGAGCATATAAAGGATGGTTTAACCTCTGTGTGATAATTGAGAGTGGTAAAAACACCTGGCATGACAGAAGAGTTTGTGATCATCAGGTGGTGGGAAAGAGAAGAGTATTATGGGCGGTCTTGACTGGCTTCTATGTGCAGACTGCTTTCGGTGTAAAATCAGAGCCCTAGGATTGATCTTGGTGTTTCTCCCTACAGGATGGTTAAGACGGTAGGCTCTGTACTCAGTACTGGGATTCATGCCCCGCTGGACTTCTTACCAGCTCTGTGTGATCTTAGACAAGTTATTCCGCCTCTCTGGGCTTCAGTGTCTTCATCTCTAAAATGGGCATAATAGAGTAACTACCTCGTAAGGTTAGAATGAGGATTAAGTGAGCCTAGGGTAATGAGCATGTAAAGTGGAAAGCACTTGATCAGTATTAGTGTTTTCCCCCTTCATTTCTTTACAGACTTTTCTTCCCTGCTTAGGAAAATAGTCCCATCCCGAACACCATTAGGCCTTCAATAGAAAGCATGGTCTCTCTGTCCTTAGTCAGGCTCAGTCTAATTGGAGGGGTAAGCTATACATAAAATAACCCAAGACCAAAAACAGACGTCTAATACCGCCTTAAGGGGTAGGCCAAGGGCAGGAACGTTTGCTACAAGCTAGGTGAGTCAGTGATCAGAGAAAGCCTTTAGGAGAAGCACAGTGAGGTCTTAAAACAATAGAGTTTTTCCTAAGTGGGGATAATGACACTGGGGCAGGAATTAACCAGACTGTGTAGAGGAACTCGTTTGGAAAGTGACAAGTCTGAGGGAAGTTCCTCTTCCCCTGAGTGAACAGAGGCCACCTCAGATCTTTGCTTTGCTTTTCCTTCTCTGTTAGGTTCCTCTGATTCTTGCGCCATTTCCTCTGGCTGTTCTTCTGGCTTGGCCTTCACCAAAAGGCAGTGCGGTCAGACTCGGTGGGAGCCAGGAGCTGACCAGCAAGCAAAGTTAATCCAGTGCCTGCGTTTCCTTCACAGGACTCTGACACCACCATACCGATGGACGAGTCACTGCAGTTTAACTCCTCCCTCCAGAAAATCCACCACGGCATGGATGACCTCATTGGAGGCGGGCACAGTATTCTGGAGGGACTGAGGGCCCAGAGACTGACCTTGAAGGTGGGGGCCCTTCTGGGGGACAGGAAGAAGCCCTTTTGTTTTGGCCTCATCCAACAGTTTGGTACCTGCATTTACTTTTTGATCACTGTCCTTAAACTGTGATATTATGGTTGTGAGACAGAGCCTTTGAGTTTGGGATCCTTCCTGTTGGAGTTGAATTATTTCGAATCCAAAAGTAACCAAATTCCCTTTGCCAGTAGGTGTTTCTTGTGCTTGCCATGAACCATAATGTGGCATCTCTTGGTATCCAGGTCTTTTTCCATTTCCTATACTTATCATGAAAGTGACTACTATTACGAGAGGAACCCATAATAGGCTAAGAAATTTGCTTATAGATTCCACTCTCAGAAGAAGGAAGGCATGGCAGTACTTTGGCATCTCAGTCTCTCTCAGGTGTTTTCCCATAGGATCCCTCCTGTCACTTCCTTATACCTGAGACCTTTTTGTACTGCTGTAATGGAGCCCCCCGGTGGTGTCTCAGGGCTGCCGTGGTTGACTGCAGCAGGTAGCTTCTAGAGCACGACTCTTCACTCTCTCTCCAGTCACAGGTGTTCCCAGAAGCCCTGCCCCGTGGCTGAGACTCAAAGCCCCGGGAGTGGTTTACAGAAACATTACACAGACTCTGATGTCAGTCTGATGTTTCAGCCTCAGCCCTTTTCCTGTATCAACCCTGTGGATGACGGGGTGTGGACTGTGCCTGTTATCAGGGTGTGGTCCCCTGTGAACGAAGCACTCCCAGCCACTGAGCTGTGAGAAGCAGTCACTCGGAAGTGTGAGCTTTATCTTAGTTTTTCTTGGACCATGTTGAGCCTGTCAGCTCCGCGGGACTTCAGTGCATTTCTGCACAGCCCCTGCCGTCTTCACCAGGGAGAAGGTCATGCGAGCCGCAAGTGGCACTTACCTCCTGCTGACGGCCCCGGTGCTTCAGATGATCTGGAAGTGTGGCCGCCGACGGCTTCATGGGTGCTCCCCTCAGAAGAACCACCTGCAGTAATCTAAACTGATACATGATGATTAATCCACCCTTTCTTTATAAAACTGCTGGCCACCTTCCCATATCTCAGAAAAACAGTAAAACCGTTTTAGGACAAGACTCACCATGCCACGCTAACGTCGGCCCAGCAGGAGTTAGAGCTTATTAAAGCAAATGTTAGCTTCCTGCTGAGGTCTGTATCACTGAGGAGTCCAGCACCTCCTGCCCCTACACTGTCACCAGGAGTGAAGTGCCCGGACCCTGGGAGGTGGTTGGGGCTCGGAGTGCGAGGTTTCCGACTGCATTTCCAGTGACCCTACTGCTACCTATATGTCCCTGGATTCCCTCTACCTGCCTCACCCCTACTTCTGTTGGGGAATTTTCTGCCTGAGCCATTTGAAAGGAACATAGGAGAGAGCATGAAGGAGCTGAGCCTTGATTTGTGGAAATTTGTGGTTGAAAATGAATACATTTTTTGAAATTTCTGTTAATTTTCAGGTGATTTTAGAAGCTAGATACTTGAACTTCATAGGGTGATGAAACAGTCTGTGCTTTCAGAGCCTGGCAGAATCTTTAGCGAGAGTAATTTTCACCATCACTGTCCTAGGAAGAACATGGCTCTGGGCTCTTTGGCAGCACTAAAGTGTGACTTGAGAGATCTCTTGGTGAGGCTTGTCAGTCATTGTCTGGGCAGAACATCAGTTTTGAATTCTTGTCCACGATGCCTCGTGTTGTTCTCACTTCTCTTGTCTATTCTCTCAGTTGTTCGTTAATGTGTCGTTCATCTGAAAAATGGATGCGGGGCCTTAGGTTAGATGCCATCCATACAAATGTAATTGGTGCTGTGTGAAAAGTAAGTTGGGGTCTGGCCAGCATTCATTTCTATTTGTTACCTCGGAAGAAATTGAATGTGCATAAAAATGAAAATTAGGAAGCAGAGAGGAAGGTCAGGCTGGGTGGTTTGGGCTATTGGTTTAGGAATAAAATACCTTTTTATTTTTGATGGTGGGTGGTGATATTTATGTAAGGAGTTTTAGGTCGTTGTGTTGGTGTCTGTCTGTGTTGGCGTCTGGTGTTTCTGTTGTTCCATCTTGCCCACTTTGAAACCCTCTTGTAGACATGGACACTGACTTACACCCATTGTCCTCAGCAGAATCCCCGAGGTTTCTAAAGTGCACAGGCTGATAGCAAGGATTTTGGAGCTAGGGAGCAGAGCAGAGGTTTTTGATATTAGCTTTTTTTTAATACAAAATATTCTAATTTAAATTTTTTCATTGAGGTATAATATACATACAGTGAGGTATACAGACCTTATTTGTACAGGTCATTGAATTTTGACAAATGCATACACCTTTGTAACTCACATTGCTATCAAGACTAGACCATTTTCATCACCCCTAAAAGATCCTCGTGCCCTTTCCCGGTCAGTCTGCCCCTCCCCTGGCAACCACCATTTTGATTTATTTCACTATAAATTAGTTTCGCCTGTTACTGAAATTCATATAAAAGTATTTGTATTACTATTTAATATGTGGCTTCTTCCTCTCCGGAATGTTTTCCAGGCTCATTCATGTTGTTACACGTTGGTAATTAGGTCCTTTTTATTACTGAGCAGTATCACATTGTGCAGATATATCATAAATTATTAATCCATCCTCTGGTTGGTGTACACCTGGATTGTTTCCAGTTTTTGGATACTCTCCTATGTTTTCTTCTGGAAGCTTTATTATAGTTTTAGCTTTTATGTTTAATTCTATGATTTATCTCAAATTAATATTTGTGTATAATATGAATCGAAGATTCTTTTGTGTACATATATGTGATATTTACGAGACATATGTATGTATATGATACATATATGGGATAGTTATTAAATAACCAGTTGTTCCAGCGCATTTGTGGAAAGACTTTTCTTTCCCCCTTGCATTGTTCTGGCACCTTGATCAGAAGTCATTTGACCATATGAAAGGAGTATGTACCTGTTGATGCTGCTTTTTATATGTTTTAGGCGTGACCAAGAAAGCCCCATCTCGTAATGACATTCACCCGCCCTGGGCAAAACGAGTTGATCTTTGTTTTTCTTTCTTTTTATGTCTGCCCCAGGGGACTCAGAAGAAGATCCTTGACATTGCCAACATGCTGGGCTTGTCCAACACAGTGATGCGGCTCATTGAGAAGCGGGCTTTCCAGGACAAGTACTTCATGATTGGCGGGATGCTGCTCACCTGCGTGGTCATGTTCCTGGTGGTGCAGTACCTGACGTGAGCCGGCCAAGCCCAGCAACTGAACAGCATTCCCACTGCGTGAGAGTGTGTGTGAGAGAGGGGGCCCAGAGGCTACCTTTTGAAATGTATGTCCGTCTTAACTGTGAAGACCACTTGGAAGTAATTATGATCTGTAACCTGGTGGGAATTTCAAACCTGCTCTGTTTTCTGTACATCTTGGAGGGGAAGTTAGTGCTACCAAGATGCGTGGTGCTTAGGAAATGAAAGAAGTACCTGTTCTCTCTCACTGTTACTGTCACTCTCACTGGGGGAGGAAGTGATGTAAGGGTAAGGGATGAAGAAGGAAGGGGGAGGAAGAGAATGGCTTTGGTGGTTTTGTCCACAGAGTTGATGCACGCCCCAAGAGGACTTTCATGGTGAGCCTTGTGGACAGGATTGTCCACACTTGGTCATCATCCAGGCTTTCTGGCTCCTAGGCTGGAGCAGAAGTGAAGAGAGGAAGAGAAAGAGGCCCTCTTTTTATGTGCCCAGTATAGTAGATGGATTCACATGCCCTCCCCCCCTGCCCCAAATGACGTACAGATGACTGACTGCTAATACTTGTCATCCTTCCCTGGAAGCAGCTACCTAGAGGAAACAGAGGCATTGACGCTGTTACTGACAATGAGTAAGACTTTCCACATTACAATCGTTGGGTGTTTCTCCTTTCTAAAATGAGGCCCCTGTTATTCCTGGGAGTGTTCAGTCTTGAGACTGAAGACCCTAGTCACTGATTTTTTTCCAGTTAATAGAATTGTTGGCTTTTAAGGTTCCAAGAATGCAGCCTGGCACCCATGCCCAGGCTTTGGTGAGGCTTTGCCCCTTAGAAAGTAGCTGTGAGAAAAGGTTAGTAATTTGTCAATTACAGTCTCATCTCTAGTCTTAGCATCTCTAATTCTTTGGCTCTCTTCCCTTCCTTGAAATGTAGTAGCAACTGTCCACCAAGCCCCCATTCTCCCTGGCCAGTGTGAGCAGAGGCCACCCTGGAGATGTCCCTGGTGCGTATGTCCTTGTGAGACTATTTTCAGGGACCAGGACCTTTTTCTTTCTGTGACCAATCCTGGATTAAGTCTGTATCAATACCCAGCGTATTGTGGAATTTATTTTAAAGCCAGTCTGTTTAATGAGTTTAATTGCTGAAAGTACCAGAAAGACCTGGTTAGCAAATTTTTTCATCTATCATAACAGGCCTTACCAGCCCTAGACTCAGTAGCCTCATGGCAATACAAAAAATAACACTCAAAACTTCCCAGAAACACTGGAAACCTGGTCAATATTAACCCCACCTTGATTGTCTTGCCCCACCTACTTCCTGTCTGTGCTTCCTGTCGTTTGGACTATCTTCTGTCCTCCCTTTTCTGTATGTGTTCTGTTCCACTTCCCTTATTTACCTCCCACCTGTTTCTGTAGCAGTATTGGTCTTTTCAGGCACATCTGTGGCGTGGATCCCCTTTTGATGAATGTTTCTTAATTGTCACAGATTTTTAACATTAGTTTCCTGGTTACTGATTTCACACTTTTGGTGAGATCACTATTGCTCCTACCCCTCTGGGCTAAACAGGGGACCTGGGTTTCCAAGAAAGGGGGAATCCGTGACCCCTTCGTGAAAGGATTGAAGGCCTTGCCAGAGTGAAAACTGTGGCCTGGAGGGTGGAGAGAGGGATTCAGGCATCTTCAGACCTAATCTAACTTTGGGGAAGCACAGTTTGAAATTTCCTTCACACCCAGCACCCCTCCTCTCCCAGGGACCCAGCAGAGGGCTCTTAGCAGTCCATAAAATGGATTTTCAAACTGCGCAGCGCTGGGCAACTGAGGATCCTGCCAGACAGCACACTTTGGGGGGAGGTGGACAAGGAGCAGCTAAGCCATTTGGACTTGAACTGTGGGAGGAGGAAACTCCCCCCACCCTCCCTTGGCTGATGTGACAGCTATTTGTAGTGAACACCAGTGTGCTCCACACTCGCCTTTGTAGTGATTGTTGGCCTTGATGAAGCAGAAGTAAGGCCTTCCTTCATGCTGCACCTTCAGAGCCATTCTCCCTACTTTGTAATAAAAATGGTGGAGGCAGTTTGTGGGTCCTTACTGCCCGGGGCTAAGGAACGGCAGCCACAGTGTGTCTGGAGACCCAAGGTCACTGAGACCTCATGTCATCGTGTGATTGCCTTCCCTCTTTCACAATGGCTTTCAGTGACCTGTGAGAAACACACCTTGGCCAAGTGGGTGCTTCTATCTCCACAGTCCCCAATGTAGGGAAGCGTTCCAGGCCAGGGAAGGAGCACCCTCTAGTGGAGTTGGGGTGAATTCTTAGGTCGCGCTGGTGCAAGAATCTCCAGAAAGCCTCTGCTGTCTGTACACACAGGATTTTGGTGTGCCTCTTGTGTTTTAAGACAGATGGGTGTCAAGGAACTTGGGAATATCTTCATTCTGTGGACCTTTACTCTAGGTGTGACCCCCTAAGAAAAGCCAAACTCAAAGACCAAGTGAGTAGGAGAGTCTCGATCTTACAGAAGCCTTCACTGCTAGGATTTTTCCTAAGTCCTTTGCCCTGATGAGTTTAAATGGGTTTGATTTGCAGATTCGGATTGACACCTATTGTTTTTGAAACACATCAGTTGAATAAAGTGAGATTTATTTTATTTAGAAAATTATATTTTTGTAAAGGAATTTGACGTTTATTGTTTTCACTAATGACCCCTTTTTTTATGTTTCCAGGCCAGAGATTCTCAAACACTGCTCTGTGGCCAGGGGCTGGACTGGCTGCCTCAGAAGCAGCTGGGAAACTTTTTAAAAATGATAGATTCCTGGGCCTACCCCAAACCTTCTGAATTAGAATATGTTTTAAGTCTCTAAGGTAGTTCTGATGTGTGTATTTTTAGAACCACTGTCTTTTAGACAGAAGGCTTTTGTCTTAATCAAAGATAGTAGCATTTGAAAACATATACTGAACTAGCTCAGTATATCTTTGGGAAGAACCAAACTTACCAAGTCTAAAATAAAGTCTCACTTGTTTATATCCTATCTTATTCCGGAAAAGATTTGAGGAGACGTATAGGAAATACCTAAACAGCGAAGTAGGAAGAAGTGAAGACCAAGAGCAAATCAGAGTAGAACATCAGTACCGAGGAAGAGAAGCTCACGCGCTGGTCACGAAGCCCCGCGGCAGTGCTCTGGGGAATGCCCAACCTCGCACTGAGCCCCAGCAGCCAGAGCAGAGAGAGAAGCGTCATCTGTTACTGTCTAAATGGGAGATGGGGCTGTCATATTTGCTCAGGGGAAAACCCAGACCTGTGAGCTTGCTTGTGGCCCTTAGTGGAAGTCAGTCACGGTTGTTTTCCTGGGCCATCCTTCTAATCCTGACCAACCCTGTGAATGAGGTCCTATATTAACCCCATTGGGCGGATGAAGAGGCTGAGCTGTAGTGATTTTCCCAAGGCCCCACAGGGAGTCCTGGAGGAGCTGGCCCCTTGTCTGTCTGGCTTCATAGCCCCGGTTCATACCCACTGCACCGACCTGCCTCCTCTGCTCGGTGTGAGGTGCCAGAGACCACAGCAGCCTGCCAGGATTGAGTATAGGACTGTAGGGCATTTCTTGCGCCTTATATGGCAGGTTCTCCTGAAATATTTCCCAGTTGAAGGGGAGAGGGGATTTGGCAGGGAGCTGTTAGAAGTGGAGAATGGGAGCTGTACTCAGGTCCTGCCACTAGGGAGCGACAGAACCCTGTGGCTGCTCTGCCCAGACCTCGGCTCTGTGCCTTAGGCCTGGTGTTGGGAGAGGGGGAAACACCTGCAGATCTGGTTGGGTTTCTTTTTAGATGCAAAATTCCCTGCTGAGTAGCAGCTCTGAGCTGTTGTTGGAGCTCTCAGACTATGGCCAAAATGACCTCTCCAGTTCTAATTTCTAGGCCTCTCCAGTCCTTCCCTTATCACGTGGGCAGATGGGCATGTTGCAAACAAACGTAGAAAACGCTTCTCAAAGAGTGTTCATTCCTTGTCCCCTTCTTGTGTCCTTTCATATGGCACATGGGAGAGGTGGGAAATGGGATGGGGGTGGGGGGATCTGGCAGGTCCTCGGCCCCTCAAGAACAGTTGGTAAGTTCCCCGACACAGGGGCTCTGTGAGCAGGCCCTCCCTGTCTCTTCCCTGTGTCCCTCTAGCACAGGGGTCTCAACCTTGGCTCTACCTTAGAACCCCCCCACCCCCGGAACTTTTAAGAATACCCATGTGTGAGTCTTACCTTGATCCATTCTGTTTCATTGGCTTGGGGTGCAGCCTGGGCATTGGGAGTTTTAGGAGTTGTCCAAGCGATAGTAATGTGTAGACAAGGGTGAGGAAGATGGCTCCAGCACAAGAGAGTTTTACCCAAGGTAAGGGAGCCGTCTGCAGCCTTCCCTCTGGCCCTACCAGGAGAACCACTGCCCTAGACAGCGGGGGAGAGGGGTGGTGAAGCCGAATTCTCCCGTCTGGTTTGGGAAGGGGCCACGTCCTTCGTGGCCCAGTGAGCCCCCCTCATTGACTGATGTCTCTGTGTCTGCTGAGTAAAGCATCTTAGTGTGACAGGCCAGCCTTTCACTGCCCCCTCCAGAGTACCTTCCAGACACAGACACACACACACACACCCGCCCCGTTCTCCATCCTCCCTGGACTGCTTGGCCTTTGAACATGCCACCTTTGCACAAGATGTGCTGCAGACACCCCTGCAATCCACGTCACCTCCAAGAAGCCTGCTGTCCTCCCCAAGATGTACCTCTAGTACTGCATGTTTCCTGGGGAATGGTGTGTTCAGGTGTGTCCCCACTAGGGGACCTTTGTGCATCCTGTGCATGTACTAAGCGTCCAGTAGCTATTGGGTCAGTGGCCTGCAGGAGGACACTTGATGAGCCCAGCTCATGTGGGTAACAGACTTCTGAGAAATGAGGGCAATGGTTCAGCAAAGCTGTTGTGCCAGGCCAGGAGGGGGCCAGAAGGTTCAAGGCCACTGATGCCACTAGCCATGTGCTCATAGGCTCTCAACAGTAGCCATGGTTAAAGTACAAGGAGGAGAGGCATGGGACCCCATGAGGAAAGATGCGTCAACCAGGACTGTGGGGAGAGAGAGAAGGGTGACCAATTTGTTCTGGTTTTAAAGCTGAAAGGCCTGAATCCTGGTGACCTCCTCAGGCTGAGTAAACCAGGATAGTTGGTCATCTTTGAGACGCTAAAGGCTAAGACAGCTGTGACTAACGCAGGGCAACCAGGAAGAAGGGGACTGTAGCCTCGGAGGCTGACCTTCTGACCTAGTGGTTCCATTAGTGGGGTCTCACCGGCCCCTCCTCCGGGGCTCCTATGACATGGAGATGACCCCTGGAGAGCTGGCATAGGCTTGACCAGGCCCAGCAGGGGAGCCCTCCTCCCTCCTCAGTCCCTTAGTCCCCAGCGACCAGAGCCCTGGCAGATGCCTGGCACCAGGTTAGCTGTTTCACGGTAGACGGGTTGGAAGCAACCTCTGCCCTCTGCACCTGGCAGGAACTAAAGAGGCATGAGGCAGCAATAAAAGCCCTGAATCCAGGATGCAGGCACTTGGCTTCAAGTCCCAGCCCTGCTAGCAGCAGCCACATGGCAGGGCTCTCTGAGCCTCATCTTTCTCCTCTTAGAATGGGGGTAACACCGTCCCACATCCCTTCCCAGAGTGGACGGGGGGCCCGAAAGGCCTAATGTTTGTGGCAGATGCCAGAGGTCTGAAGCAATGAGTCAGCCCTGGCTGCTGATTGCCATCACCTGGAGAGCTTACAGAGTCCTGATTCTGGGTCTTGTCCCCAGAGGTTCGGAGCTGCTTAGTCTGGGGTGTGGCCTAGGTTTGGGGATTTCTTTCTTTCTTTTTTTTTTTTTTTTTAACTTTCCAAGAGATTTTCATGTGCTGCCCAGGTTGAGAACCACTGCTCTAAATACCCTCCAGGTGTGATGGGTTAGTATTCCTGTTTAACTGGAAAGACAAGAACTATTCACATGAAACAACCAGAGGACAAATGACATGCAGAATCCCCAAGGTTGAGAGACAAGCTTAGAGTGGGGGCATTAACTAGGAAGGGCTTTCTGGGCGAGAGTGAGGTGATGGCCGCAGGAGGACTGAAGGAGAGGAAGGGTTGTGGGAGCAGTTGTGGGGAAGAGGCCCACCTGGGGGTGTTAATAAGCTCTACTCAGCCTTAACTGCGAGGCAGCAGAGAGCTGCTGGGAGGGTTGGTGCACTGTCATCTGCTTGGCTCAGCTTCCTAGCGCCGGCTCGGAGCCAGTCCGAGAAGTGGTTGCTGCCCAGAGGCCCGAGGCACCTGAAGTGGACTGTATCCTTGTTGGTGGGTAACTCCAGAGAGTCGAACAGGTGTGGGCTGTGCAGAAGGGAGGCAGTTCAACACTCTTCCTTCCCTTTCCAGCCCGGGCAGTGGGCTGCTCGTTTTCTCAGCCAGGACAGCTTGGGCAGGCCCACCCTGTGGCTCTGCTCGCCTCTGGCCCCTTTCGCAGGGTCTGCTGTGAGCTGCTTGTGCCCAGGGCGTGTGTGAGGCTGGAGTCGAGGGACCAGGGAGTTGGGACCTCTGTAGGAGGGTAGAGTGATCACCGCCGCCCCCAGACCTCTCCACGTTGTTTTGAGTATGAGAAGATGAAGGCCTGAGTACTCCTGGATGTTGTCCAAGTCTTTGTGGCTAGTTGCAGGGAGTGCGCGTAAATTCGGTGTCCATAGTCATTTATCCCAGGAAACCATTTCTTTCTTCCCTCTCCTTTACCCGTGTGGCAGAGGGCAGCCCCCAGAGCATAATTCTACGATGGAGCTGTGGTCAACTCCTTGGATGAGAAAACAGCTTGGAATAAATTTTCTGAGGGCGTCCATTCGGAGAGAAGAGCACTTAAAGATGTGGAAGGCCTGGGATGTTCACTTAAGGAAAAGAAAATAGCTCAACTCCATTATGTTAATTGTACCCATTTAACATAAAAAGTCGACTTAATAATTAGAAGAGATGTCATGGGGCAATGATAGGTGCCAAGCAAGTGGGTTAGGTACCAGAGACTGTGTGTTCAGAGGGCAGAGAGCTCATTCAGACAGGTGCGGGAGTGGTGACCGAGCACTTCCTGGAGGAGGGAGGACTTGAGCTGGGTAGAGAATGGATTGGTGGGCCTGGAGGCTGGTACTGACCGATGCTCTGGGGAAATCAGGAAGGGAAGCTGGTTTGAAGGGCAGGAATGAGCTCAGGTCTCAGACGGCTGGGTTTTGGAGTGGCCTGTGGAAAGAGTCGGGAAGTACTGGATAGGAAGCTTGAGCGGGGTGATGGAGGAAGGCCAGGAGGCCCTGGCGTGAATGCAGTTGTAGCTGTCATCCTGAAACCAGAAATGCTGGGAAGGCTCCCTGCTCATGCCCTGGACTCTGGACCCAGGAGCCACTGCTCAGGAACGGTGCAGGGGGGTGGGAGGGTGGCTCCTAAGCCAGTCTCACCTTGCCTCGAGGGTTTAGATTAAAACCTCCTCTTTGGTGTAAATGTGTAGGAGAGAGAGTGTGCTGGGGCTCTGGGTAGCCAGTCTCTCTCAGGAGCACCCAGCAACCCAGACTCCGCAGGTGGGGGAACCCTCCAAATGGGCACAGTGTGGGAGGCTGGCACTGCTGCATACCCCGAGAGCTCCCCACAGCT